GTGTGTGTTTGTATGTATGTAATATTACACATACACACACATTTGCACACTCAACTCTCACATCCAGACTCATATTAAACACATGTGCACATAAATGCATAATTCCATATACATATATAATATATATATATATAATATATATATATATATATGTGTGTGTGTGTGTGTGTGTGTGTGTGTGTGTGTGTGTGTGTGTGTTGTGTGTGTGTGTGTGTGTGTGTATGCATGTATACACACACACACACACACACACACACACACACACACACACACACACACACACACACACACACACACACACACACAACACGCACACACACACGCACACACACACACTCACACACACACACACACACACACACAGACACACACACACACACACACACACACACACACACACACACACACACACATACATACATACATACATACATACATACACATGCATGCATAATTCCGCAAGCGCCAGTACTCTGGCTCCGCGTGGCTCCCCCGCGACGCGCCGCGGGCAGGGTCTGGTGCCGCCCTCGCCCCGCGCGGCCTCGACGCGGCCCCGACGCGGCCCGACGCGGCCCGACCGCGAGCCCGTCTTCGGTTCGCTGCGAGACTCGGCATGCTTAGCTTCCCCGTGGGCTCGCGGCCATCACCTGTACAATGTTTTCTTTTGCTTTCCAGGTGCATTTCTTATTTACTGTATTCATAGGAGAAACTGCTGTGATATACTTTGTTAACAATAATAATTTGTTATTGTTTCTTTGTTGTCTTCTTTTCCAAGTCGTGTACAAAGGAAACATTCTTGTATTCAATGATGCTGAGGGGCTTGGATGACAGGAAGTGGGACATGAGTTCTTAAAGTCAAAGACAAGGAAAATCGTTTTGCTAAGTATTTTGCATTTTTTTCATACACATTTCATCTAATCGCTTTTAACATGATTATGTCACTATTCTGTTGCATTCCCCTGGGCAAACTGATTTAAGATAAGATGGGGTGACTCCCCGCCTTCTCAGTGCATACTCGTGTGACTCTCTGCTTCCTTATCATGCAGTCTTTTGAGCGTGTGCTTGTGTGCTTGTGCGTGTGATCCATTCAGTCGAGCAGAGTTTGGTAGAGAAGATGCGTCCGGCGGTAAGTAGAGTGGAAGACTGCAAGGCCCGTATAGACCCGAGAGGCTTCTGCCTTAGCATACTTTCCTTTGTGATCGGGAGAGTCAATAGAGGTAGCAGTAATACCTAAAATAAGTCAAAAAGGCTTTCTGGAGGTAAGTGCTTCTCCTTGGTGCTTGACAAGTCAGTTTTCTTCTTCTTCCAGATTTGCTGGTCCGCCTGGAGGGGCTCGTGGGCGGCAGTGGTGTTGCTGGTGGAGGTGGCGGCGCTGGCGTACCTAATATGACTATGGGCGTGAGTGTGGCTGGGAACATGGGTGGGTGTGAGGAGGTGGGCGTGGTGTCCTGCCCGGTGTGCAGCAAGAGGGTACAGCTCTCGTACCTGTCGCTGCACCTCAAGCGGACCCACGACTCCCTTGAGGTGCGCTGTCCCCTGTGCGCCAAGATGTTCAAGAACAAGCACAGCCTGAGCGTGCATCAGGCCCGCTACCATCCCCGGAACATCCACACAGTGCCCATGGGCGGCGCGCCGTCCTCGTCTTCCACGCCCGTGTCCCCGAGCGGGCATCACGCTCTGCAGCCGCACAGGCCAGCCACGCCCACCTACCTCCAGCCTCCCTCGTCCAATCAGCTTCACCAGAATCAGCAGCAGATCCCCAGTACGCCCACCCCCCCTGGGGCCTCCCCACGGGTATCCCCCACCGGCCCCCCGCCTCTCAGACCTCTGGGATCTGGTACCACACCCACACAGAGGAGGG